GCTGACTTTGATTACTTTGCCGCAGCCAGGATGCTACACAAATGAAACTGCAGCCAGGATGCTACAAGACCTGCACCCGAGGGAAGGAGGGCACAGTCACCGCCGGTCTTACAAGGAAGAATCAAGAAACACTGAGCCTTTAGCCAGCATTCACACCTGCGCAATTGCTGGGGCACGTTCATGTGCTGCGTTTGCCGTGCGTCCCCATTGGGTCCAACGGGGCCTAAACATACCATAAATGTGACAAATTTTCCGTCACACGTGTAGCATTTTTTTGCGTCCGCGTTAGTGCGAGTTTTAATGCACGCAAGCGCAGAGCAAAACCGCGTGTCTTCCTGGCCGCATTTGGGGTGCCTTTGGAAATTAATGGCAATGCAAGCGTGTTTCGCGGCATCAACACGTTTTTGTCTGCGTTTAGCACACGTGCTTAGAACACGCAGGTGTGCACGCGGCCTTAGCCCCTGTTCGCACCTAGGTGTTTTGTAGCTCAAATGTAAGTGAGACAAACCACTCAAGACAAGGAATCCCATTCGCTTCTCTTGAGCACGACAAAACTCTCAAGAAAACGCCTGTCGCTGGAAAAAGAACAGGAGTTACTTTTTGGCAGATTACAGTGCTTTTTGGTCCCAATGTTCAGGTGTGAACAGAGACCAAAGGAATGAACGGTATTCCTGGTCTTGAGCATTTTTGCCATGCTTACTTTTGAGAGACAAAACGCTCAGGTGTGAATAGAGACCATAGGAATGAATGGGATTCCTTGTCTTGAGCGTTTTTGCCGCGCTTACCTGTGAGTGACAAAATGCCTAGATGTGAATGGAGACTTATTATGCTGGTTTCTCACAGTGATTTCACAATGGCTGCAGAAGTGGATTACTAAAGAGCACCATATGTGTTGATGGTGAACAATGTCATTTATATATCTGCTGCAAAATTTCTGCCCAGGGTTCAGATTTAAAGAAACAAATGGGGTGAGGTTGGAGGGGACTGAAAATTCCATGGGGCCACTTCTTTATTTTGTGTTCATGCCATTTTATCTATAACACAGCTTGTTGGATTTGAATCCAAAACTGAGGCTGGCCATTAAAAGGATGGCAGCCTGGAACAATGCCTTTGTTCGTAAAACTATCCTCAGAACTTGGAAACTTGTTTCTTGTTATGTAATGTTTTCAGTGTGTGAGGAATGGGATGGGCCACAGTAACTTCCTGGTTTGTGTTACAGGTCTGCCTTTCCGAGTTTCACACTGCCTTGGTGATTTGCAGGTGGTGTTGGTGACTGAGGCAGGAATCTCTAACACACACTGCATGAGCATTTGGATATATGACAAGGGTCTGATGGAAGATATGAAAACATGACCTACCGGGCATACAGGGTGAGCTGGAAGGAGCAGGATTATGAACCCTCGGAGAATAACTGTGAGGACCAACCAGAGGGAAATGAACTGGAGTCAATGGGGTAATGTACAGCAATCTCTGTTTATTACATTTGATTCAATTCTACATCATTTGTCATATTGCTCGCCTTAGCTCAGCCTTTAAATCAGGGGTATCCTCAAATAAGACACACATATATATATACATATGATTAATGTGTATGCAAGATCACACTTACAATTCCTGTGTATCAGGATCTGTATCTTTTCTTAGCCACAATCTGTTTCCACAAACACAGATACAGGCAGCACCTGATGTTACTTACATTTTGAGATTGCGTTTTTACTGGTGTAGTTGTTTGTAACATGGGATGTTGAATTTCTTTTAAGAATTTGTAAACCCTATTTCCAAAAAAAAACAAAAAAACATTTAATTGGGGCTACCCTGGCACTGCAAGGGTTAACTGCTCATTTTTGCCTGGAGTATTGCGTTAAAGACTTTTACTTACCTGACCCCCCTCCTTCCCCCAGGCTTCAAGACTGGCTCCCACAAACTCTTGCCCCCTACCTTCTGGTGGTCATTGGCCATCCGAGGTCATCATGTATAATGCAGTCCTGCATTATACATGAAAACGCAGAAGGCCAGTTTACAAACTGGAGCGTAGGGAAGAGAGATGTACACCGACCACTGGGAGAGCAGGGAGCAAATATTTAAAATCACTTTAAACAATACCCCTAGACAAAAATGAGCAGTTGCCCCTTGCCGTGCGGGGGTAGCACCACTGAAAATCTTTTTTTTTTTTTTTTT